TAACAAAATGCAGAAATTCATCATGACTGGTTGTTTTCCTGCACCTGATGACAAGGAACAAGTCTCAGACCTCTAGCTCATTTAGTGCTGCAACACTAAAATTTTGGATTTATCTTACATTTCTGAAAATGTGAAAAAACATAATAACAATCCACACAAATTTATTTTTTGTTTCTTTTTAATTTTAAGCAGTTTTCCATGAGGTGAGGAAGGGTAGGTAAAGGCCCTTTTATTCTTCAGAAAATGATAAGCAGTACTTAATCCCTCTTACAATCCAATCTTTATATTGCAAGAAGCTCTTAAAAACATTCTTGTGGTCAGTCTCTAATTTCCTTCACTTGCTTGTGGAGCTCCCTGAACAAGAAGTTTCACTGGAGAAAGAACCTGGCAAGAGTCTTCTAAAAGAAAGGGATACAAAATACCATTTACCTACTGATCTCTGAAACTACACTCAGCGTTTCATTTAAACTTCAGAGTTCACCTGGAAAACAAATCTTCCATGCACACTAGGTTATTGTTAGCTGAGTATCTCACAAGACTGTGCTGTGATTTTAGTAAACTCCAAAGAAATCTCATGGCTCAACTATGCTTTATACCAGCCCATTTGAATGTCACAATGATTTTTTTAGTATCTAACTGTTGCAAATCATGCTTTAAGTATTATTATACAGCACACTTCTGCAGCACTATCTAGCATATAACTACTTCCAAGAGCTTCAAAGTATCTGAAAATCATTTATCACTCATAGTACTGCATGTGAGACAACAGGATACTATGGCAGCTTGTGCAGACAGCTTATAGAAAATTTGCTTAAACAACTCTTCTTTTGTCCAGTGACAGTACTCTTATGCTCTGTTTATGCAACATGAAGAAACTCTATGTACTTTTTAAAAATACATTTTCATAAGTAACTCTCAAATGCTGTTATCTCAAGTGCAACATAAAAGTTGCAGTTTTAAAGGAATTTTTTGCTACAATAAATCAGTTGTTATGCCAACTTTTGTTATCAGTGACAAGAAAAATAAAAAATAAAAAATCAAAACTTGCTAGCATCACTTGATATAAATGGCTGTTGTCCTATTAAAAGCTGACACTGTACACTTTTTGGGTTTTGGCTCACACTTTGCATCTTATAAAATAAAAATATTCATACAATTAAATGCATGCATTTAAAAACAACACTGACTTTCAGATCCATTAAAATATTTTGACTATTCTCCTCAAAAGCTTACTTTCTGTCAAAATTCTGCACTTGAAATTTTTGAGGTATTGAAGTATATGCTGTGTATATCTTGTCATCATCATTATGCACTTCATTTGCACTAATATTGCAGGTCTTTCATAAATGTGCCCCGTACTTGATTTTGCAGTTCATTAATGACTTCTTCCCAAGCAACAGGAGGGTACACATTCATGGCATACACCTATAATGTATATTTATTTTGGCAGTTATCTCTCTTCTTATTAAAAAAAGGACCTTAAGCATCCTCAGGAGGACTGTATACATATAAAACATGTTAGATTCTTTCTTATTAGGTTTATCTGAGAAAAGTCCATTCTCTCCTTTTTTGTGTTTCATGTCTCTATGTTTAAAATACATAATGGTCACCTGTTTCTCTTCTTCCGATGCTCTCTGTTGGAATTTTCTGATTCACTGCCACTGCTGGTGTTACAGCGAGACCGCGATCTGGAGAGGAGAAAAACATCATCTCAAGATGAATTTATCTACTAACATCTTGTAAGAAGTACTGAAGTTCTAAACAAGGAATGAAAAACACTGCAAAGACATTACTAGAAAAATGAGAATCAAAACACTCTAGGGGGCTTGTCTACACCTGAAAGTTGTATTGTCTTAACTGAGAATAACTGCTTTGAAGACAGTGCACCCAGAATGCTGTCTCAGGTGAGTGCTATTTTCCTTTTGAATCACTGCATTGCATTTTTGTTTGTTTGTTTGTTTTATTTTATCTCTCAGTGTTCTTTTGCATACCCAACAGTGAAATGTTCTTTGAGGTGTGAAATGTTTTGTCTTTAAGCTGTATGCATTCTGGCTCTTTTACTGCATACTATGAGACGCCCAACAGAAATGACACAGTAATTCTGGTTTTGCAGGCAAAACAAAATGCTCACCAGATCTGGCTTTTTCTATTCACCTCCACTTCCACATGGCTTCTAGTAAGTTCGTATCATTTTTCAGGTGTCAGGCAGTAAGGAAAAAACACCACTACAACTGTGATTCTGCTGATCTCTATAAGCACAGAATGGCTGGAGGGCACAGATTGGCAGGTGTGTGTATCAGCAGAGATTTGGGATGACCTGATGCACAGCTACAAAGATGCGAGGAAGAAGAAATAAAGCAGTTACTTCAGTATCACCTCTGATTGCGAAGCTTCGAATGGTAAAGCAGCTTTTACAGCTCTGATTATTTATTCCTGAAAAAGACTGGTGGAATATGGTGATGCTGAACTTCGAGAAGAAAATGGGCATACACCTACCTACAGGCAAACTCCTCTCAATAGAGGAAAGTGCTTGGCCACTGCTATCTAAGATCCTTAAATCCTTGATTGCCACCAATCAACATTTTGCAGCAGACAGACCAGCTGTCAGGTCTCCAGTCCTAGAAACCAGGACTCTGTTACTGTACCGCTGGGCTAGGTCCTAAAAACCAGCACTCTCATCAAAATTTGGTTTGGACCATTCTTTAGTGTAATGATGATCTCTGTGTGTGGCCTGACAGCTCGATTGATTAATGGGGAAAGTTTACCAATATTAACAGGAGCTGGCCTAGAAGGACTTAGGATATCCAGTCAGTACCAGTGATGGTTTTGCTGCAATGGAAAATAGAACTACTGATGCCGCTGGCAGAGACACATACTTTCTTGTGCCTCCTGGCTTTTTGTTTGCTCTTTGATGAGCCATTTTCCTAAGGGATCAGATTTGTTAAACTATACCTCAAACAAGCTGAGGAGTGAAGGCAGTTCATTAGGTGTAGGTAACAAGTTAAGGGGAAGCATTTCATAACAAGGTTGGACGCTGTTGACAAGCACCTGCTCACAGTATGTTCTCACAGTTTAGGGAGAAGAGCCCAAACAGGATAACAGAAGATGAGAGACTTCCTAGGGAACAGAACAGCTGCAGCATGGACCTCCCCTGCGTTTCAGTCTTATCTGGCCAGGGACACACCACTCTACCCTGTCTCAGAAACTAGGACACTGTTATAGATGTCCTTCTGATACAGGTGACAGTCTCATGAATGTGCCCATAATGCCAGTGAATTACAGCTCATTTTCTCAAATTGCTGTGTCATTAAATGCCTCAGAGTCTATGGAGTCTGGTCTCCCCCCTCTCCCATACTAGGAAATTACTAACTCAAATAGCTCCCATTCAAACAGAAATGTTTTAGAATAATAGGACAACTAAAGCCTAGGAAAATCAGTTCAACCCAGCTTGTCTGCAGGGAATAGACTTGGCAAAGTGAAATTTCCCCAGAGGAGAAGCAGAAACCTCTCCCCATCCCCAAAATTAAAGCTCACAATTTAAAGCCATTGAGAGGCTCAGGATAGCCAGTTTCCCCAGGTAAAAATGCACATTTCTAGATGAAGCTGAAAATGAGGATAAGAAAGATGGATGTTACTACAGAAAAATGAAACCCCAAAGGAAGAAGGAAGATTAAAAGACAACGTCCAAAAGATAATGGCTCAAGCACATTTAGAGAGTTCAGAGCAATAAAAGCCCCAGAACTGCTGCAGACCTTACATGCCCAAAAGTATACCTTTTTTCACCCAAAATCTTATCAGACGTTTAATAAATATTCCATTAATCTTGAATCTCAACATTACTAGGTCATCTGAGCAACATTTTCAGACTTCCAGGTCATCCGAATGACTCTGTTCTTCTGCATTTCTCAGCACTTCAAGTATTTTCTTAATCTGATTTAAGCGTAAGGTACCATAAGGTACCAAAAATCACACCATGGCAGGAGAAGTGCAAGACAAAACATCCTATTTGCTCAAATTCAAGATAAGCCTTTCTCTAGCTTTTGAGGAATGGAAATCTGATCCACCTTTTGGATACTGCACATCAAATTACCTTGTGTTCCCTGTCAGGAAAGCACTTGCGGGGAGACAGAAGGGCTGCTGAGCTGTCAGCTGAGTGGCAGCTACTCATGCTGGCTGTCAGAATATTATCTTTCACTGAATATTAAACATCAGCTTTTACTGAACCAATTAAAATACCAAAAATGGAAACAAAGGTGGTTTCCTAAACCAGGTACAAGAACACATGCGATCATCCTGATCTCTGACGATTACAAAGCACCTTTCATCCTTTTTTCTCATGTTTTCTTCATCATGCAATATATTTGATATTTTGCAGGTGGTATATCTGTAAGGTCTGACACGAGGAGCAAGAAAGAAGGCATAGTCGGTTTGTCAAGAGACATGAAACAAATACAGTCCAGGAGGGGCCTCGGGGGTGGAGTGGGTTGCAGGATTTTGTATTTCAGAGAAACAGTTGACAGACAAGGCTCATATTCTGGTGCAGTCCTTTTCTGATTAAAATGAGAGTAGCCAAATTGTGAGGAAGTGGAGGTGGTCTCATTCCAGTATACAATAACAAGCCTGTACATTTGTAATGTAATACAGCAGACACAGCCTTTGGGAAGCGGTCCCTCCTGATCACTGGGGTTTTCTACCTCAGACACCTAGCTGAATCCTCTCAGTTTTGTATGCTGGACATCTACCACAGGACTATCACTGGCAGCTTGTAATGGTAACATCCTTAAAAAAAAAATAAATCTGTTATCTCATAATAGGTGCAAAGTATGTGAGCACTTTCCCTGACTTCCCGTGATTGTCCATCCCTGAGATGTTTGTATTTCTGCCAGAGCTCCTTTCCAGTGCTGCAGCAGTGAATCAGATCCTGGGAGTGCCTCCTCTCCTTTGCAAGCTTCAAGAGACTCTAAATGTACTGCACTGTCTCCTTTTTCCAGCAGCCAGGAGCACAGGAGCGAGGAGAAGCACAGCACAGAGTCATGGCAGGCAGATGTGGCACTAGAGAACTCCAGATGCAAAAATCTGTCAAAAGCTGAAGTTGTTGAAGGGCACACCTGAATTCACACCAGCAGTTTATTTGGAAATGTGACAACTAGTCAAGACTGCACAGGAAAAAAAAAAAAGAAGCTTAAATTCAGCAAAAAATGTGCAAGACAGTGAGAAGACCTTAAGAAGTCACATATGCCTCTGCACCTACGTTTTGCAGGACAATTCATCTCAAATGATAGTACATTTGCTTTCAAAACAGATTAATTAAAGTGCACTGGAAGGCTGGAGAACTCAAAACAAAATCAGCATATGCAAAATCCAAAAGCTAAAACTTCTGGAATTGACTTTCAAGTTGCAGACAAGCCTTTAGTAGATTTCCACAAACTGCTTCTAGCATGGCATGGTAACAATGTGTAAGGCAGCTTGTAGGAATCTGTGCTGTGATGAGGTTATACTCAAGAGTGTTTTAGCAAAAGTAAGATAGGAAAGAAAAAAATAAATGCGTGCAACAAAACATGCATTTTAAACATCTAAGATGATGGGGGAAAAGGAAGGAAGGGAGGGGATGCAGGGAACTAAAATATGATCAGTACCTTCGCTATCATTTAATGGCTGCTATAGATTATATATTTACCTTCTCCTTTGCTTTATATCTGAATCTTCTCCACTGTTTTGATTTTTCCTGTGACATTAAGGAAGTTTTAATGAAATACCATAGGGTTACTTAACACAAACACACAAAACCTCCCATCTTTAAAAAAAAAAAAACAAACTTCACAAAGGTGGGGGTTTTTTCAGTATGATTTAAGTCAGAGAAAAAAGGGTATGTGCTTGTTTTAAACTTTTCAGGACACCTCTACAATAAGTTGCGAAGGCATGATCCCATTCAAGTTCTCATTGCAAACCCCTGACTTGCAAGGTTAAGCGTGGTATGCTGGCCTTTAGAGTTTCCTACTGTTTCCAGCATAGCAAAGCCTGATGTTTTCCTCTTAATTCCAGTAAAGAGTACATAAACAAGACAGCTATTGTTATTAAACAGTTGAAAAAGGAAAGTGCATGAATAAAACCAAGATTCAGGAAGACATAATTAGGTTAGAATCTACCCACTATTGTCAGTCTTCAGTCTCACATATGAGATAAGACTTTGAAAAACATTTTGTGCTGGCCCAAGAGAAAACTTGCTATTGGCATGACCACCTGTCCACCGAGCAGATCAGCCAAATGCAAATCCCAGATGACAAGCACTTTGCATCTCAAAAAATTCCCTACTGCATAGCGTACAAACACTGTTATTTTCTTGGTACAAGACAGTTTTGCAGTGCACATCTCCATTCCGTTGTTTTTACAGAGCCCAACAAGACCTTTTGACAACTAAACTAGCAATGGATCAGAAAACCCATTCAGGATACACATTGCTATTAACACTTACAAGGGCTCTATCCAACAGGGGAAATCAACATAACTCTATTGACTTAGCGCTACACTGATTTACTTTATCTCAGGCACAAGGTCACTAAGCATACACCATGGGTGAGTTTCTTCACTCCTGTTCTAGACAGCTAATGGCAGATAAAAGGTCTGGAGCAGCTCAGAAACCTGACAAATATAAACGCTCCACATCTAATGACATTTCCTCATAGATACAGCTGCATCTTCAGAGATTCCTTTGCAAACCCTGTCCAAACAGGTAATCCCTTCAGAGATGTCAGAAGGAGATGTGCTCATAAGGCAGTCCTAGAAGACTGCAATGAATATGGCACAGTAGCTATGCTTGTCTATACTTCACAGCAGATCACAGCACCAGGGTTCTTCAGCAATGGAGGCAGCTTCTCAGCAGGACAAATCATCCCAGGTAACGTGTAGTCTCAAAATTGTATCACTTCAGAACTGTCCCTGCAATTCACACTTTAGACATACTCCAGGACGCACAGCACAGAATCTACATCCATTTAATTTTACTTTTCTCAGTTACTCAATTCAGCAGGTAACCATTAAAAACACATTTAGTATCTCATAATTGTATTTTTGCTGACATCTTCTCTAATGTAAAGTAATTCATACATGGGACTGTTGAAGACAGATTTATGGCTCATTTGTTTAATCCTTGTTGCACTTAAAGCAAAGCAATATCCTTAGAATACTACTCTGTAGTAGAAGCTCATTGTCAAGCAAGCAACATCCATCAACCCTTTCCTTCACAAGGGAAAAATGGCTGCAGCATCTGAAAGGATCTTGCATGTGCCAATAATGCAATTTCTGTTATTTTTAACATAATTTTCCTAGTACCCAGAACAGTGCAAAAGTAAAAAGCCCGACCAAAGCTTCCTTTTCAAAAGCAGATCTGGTATTCTTGCTCAGGTGTTTTTTGACTAACAACTGACCACTGCAGTGCCCCTTTTCCCAGGACCAAGCTGCGTCTCCAAGAGCCTTTAGTGAACACAGAGCATACAGGACCTCAAGCTCTCTACTGTGAGAAGCTAACAGTAATTAACCCCAGGGCTCTTACCTCCTCCGGACTGGCTGTCCAGACTCATTCTCACTGCCACCTGATGGGTTCCGTCGCCGAGAGTAAGGAAACTTTGGTGATTTATTGCGGTCACTGGGAGAATTATACAGCCCACTAGGGTTAAAAAGGAAGAGCAAACAGTCAGCTTTAAAACTTCCAGGAGAGTTAGGCCAGTGAATTGAGATTCAGCCTACAAAAATGAGAAGGCTCACACACACACACACATATATACATATTCATCTATACCTATATGTGTGTGTGCGTGCTATGTAAATGCAGACAGCACTGCTTTCCAGCAATAAATATTTTACACTGAACCTTGAAAATGTGAGAGAGACCTCTTAGCATTGCCAAGCCAAAAGCTCAAGGCTTACAAAATGTAGAACCAAGTATACACATATTCTTTTAGAATAGTAAAATTTCTGTGCTTTAATATGAGTTATCCAACCAATGGCTAGGCATTCAAATGCACCTCTATTCTTTATGTTTTCCATGGATGTAAGTATGAAAGCAATGTTCCTGTCATGACATATGTCTTCATCACAGATCTAATGCTTGGGACCATGAAACAATTTTAGGTCCAGCTCTCTGCTGTTCATCCATGCAACCCTCTGCCAATGATGTGGAGGTGTTTCAAGCTTCACATTATGTCTTAAGCCTGAGTGGGACCCAATGGGTTGGGTTGTTACAGAATTAGATGTAGACTGTCAAATCCCTGTAGGGATTGTCCTGTGATACCTTCCTACAGAAGTGTAAGGATCTCTTCCACAGTGTAACAGAGCCTGAGATGCAGTACATATCACTCTGAGTTGGTCTACTGATGTTCCACAACTTCTTGGAGAAAGGATGCTAAACTCAACCTCACATCTTTATCTAACATTACTTAGCCCTTTTCACAACATGGTAAATAGGACATTCCAGTTCAGGTATTTCTTTCTGCTTTCCTAAACCCCTCTGGCCTTCTAATTGGATACATTCTTCTTCACCTGCTTCTGCAGACTGCTGATTACAGCACTGGTCTGCATCGTTGAAAAGCTGCCACAGTTCATCTCAGTAAGAATTATTATTAGAAGCTGTGAAAAATTCTGTGCAACATACCCTCTGCTTATGTGTAGTCCTTTAGAATAGATGGATTTGCAAAAACTCAGTCCTACCATTCTTTGGCTCCTGGGGGATCAAACTTCCTGCTATCCTGAAAGTAATTTTAACATTGGAGCCATAATGTGACAAGCTGACACCACTTCTTTTTTAAAAATCATAAATAAACATCTATCCTAGCCAAGAGAGTATTTGCACACTGCCTTGTCCTTACTCTGAAAACTCTTGATGTTTACAGAAGGAGCACACAGGGTAAAACGTCGTGGTGCCCCAAAAGACACACCATGTATAGATCTGAATCATCACATAAAAGCAGGACCGTACTGGATTACATTTAATATGCCATCTGGTTCTATGGCTGTTTCAAAGGGTGGCCGTAAGCAACCAGCTACAGGAGGCACGATGTTGAGCATGTATGACAGCTCCGCAGTGCTCTCTCAGTCCCCCACTATTCCCAGTCCAGGGGACTTACTGAGCCATCTGCTATACCTTTGTCTTCAGAAGCCCTTGGGAATTTTTCTTCCATGACTCACCCAGCTTCTCCCAGAAATCCACCAACTTCCAGCATCCCTTGTAAAGGAGGACCAGAGGTCTCCTACTCACAGCGAGTCACTACTCATTGCCTTTCTCAGCACTTTTAAACCATCTTCAATAGCTTCATCTGAAGATCCCAAGTTCTTCCAGTGGCAAAATACAATCCTGATCTCTTTCTCCTTTCTCTGTACTACTCATGATTTGAAGAAAGTCTTGCATGGCCTGTTCCGCTGCTCCTACAGATTTCCTGCAGAGCCATTTACACTTTTGCTGCCCCTCTCAAAGCCTCTTCCTTTTCCTGAGATAAGTACATCAGAACTGCACTCACAGTTCATGGAGCAAATATGTGATCCACAAATTTATATAATGGCATAACGCTGTTCTCTTGCTTTCCTAATAATTGCTAATTGTTTTTCTGTCTGCTACATTGTAGATGCTTTCATGAAGTTACCCATCATAACTCCCCAGTGCCTCAGTTTACTCAGAACTCTAAGGTTATTTTTTTGCCCCATGTGTCTCTCTATACACTTACTGACTCAAGGTCATCCACCATCTAAAAACTCATCACTCATACTTTAGGGGTCTTTCTGACACTCTTCACAGACAACTTTCACTCTCACTATCCTAAACAATTCTGTCCCATCACCAAACCTTACCACCCCTTTTCCAGGTCTTTGACAAATACACTCAATAGCGGAGGCCTACGAATAGATCTCTGTGGAAAGCCACTGGTGACTCTCATCCACTGACCACTTCCTCCTACACCTACTTTCCTAATATTTAACTGATTATTTATCCATTACAGAGCCTATATTCTTATATGCAACATAGATTTATTGTGACCCTGTTAATACATTAATATATTATATTAATATCCTTCAACCTATTGCCATGGCATGATATTTACCATTGCACAACACCTAAGACATCATGCCTTGCCTTACCTCTGTGGGCCATTTTCCTCCCACGGTGCGCTTGTTTTACTTCTTTGGGTTTCTGGACTGTTTTCACTTTTCATCTTTTTAAAGCTAAATAAAAGTACAGATATTTTTTTTTTAAACCCATAGTGTACAGATCAAGTATTCTCTCCCCCTGATGTCTTAAAAATTAATCCTAAAGGCATACAGTCATTACAGAGTCCCATCCTGGCATATAGCTATTTGCCTGCTATGTGAAAGAGGGCAAACAGCCGCTATGTTGAAGAATCTCTCCTAGAAAGACAGATTAGGAAAGAAAAAAAAAACCTGAAAATCAGCTCTACAAGCTCATCATTATGGCTGCACTGAGTCACAAAAAAAGGTCAATCTTGTCTCAGAATAAACAAGAACAGATGCTTAGGCAAAAAGGCTAACAATAGGGCAAATATACAATATGGTCTCACAGTCTTCCACAATATGCATTTAACAGATTAGCAAACCAGAGGCTTTATCTGCTTTTTATTCTACATAGCTCTTGATGGAACTTTCTTCCATGGATTTACTTAAACAAGTCAAACATTTTTGAGTTTTTAGCATAAATAGTGCCTGGTGGCAGCATGCTCCAGTATTTAACCATTGCATAAACAAATACTTCATTTTGTTTCAAAACGTCCACCTGGTTCAAAACTTCTATCCTGTGTTCCTCACTAGTTCTGTGCTTACACAAAGAAAAAAAGCCCTATGAGAATGATGGTTCCCTAATCACAAACTCCACCTCATAATTTTTTTTTTAATATATTTTTAACAACTGTCTCATCTCTTTTCCAAGTGAAAGAATTACAGACTATTTAATCTCTCCCAGTACAGGAATCATCAAGTAGCTCTGATTATCCTTATCATATTTCTCTACCATTTTTCCAGGTCTACAGTACCTTAAGATGGGAGCAACAAAGGCAGAACTGATAACTATTCAAAACATGACAGACCACAGGTTCATAAAGTAGCATATTCTTCTCATTCCTTCCCCAGTAACTCCTTATGTTTTCTTTTTGCTAGACACTGAGCATAGACCTGACAATATGAAAGAGCTGTCTTCACTGACTGCTGCAAGGTAAAGTAACAAGATAGTCAAGATAGTCACCAGGCTCAAGAGATGTATCAGTGTTTGTATCCAGTCTCCCATCCTACCTAGAGGAGACGGGGGGAAATACAGCAGGAAGCTCCAATTCTTCCATTATTCCTACCATTCTTCCTACCATTCTCACAGTGTCAGGTTTTACAACTTCTGACCCATTAATGCACCTGGTAGCCTGATCACTATCACTCCACTGAAGCATGCTTTTGCACCCATCTTCTTGCAAATGGCTAGTTCATGTTTTTCCTGCATCATCATCTCTAGAGCTCACTTTCTACATGAACAAGCAGTTCACCTGATACAGAACTAGATAGCCACATTGATTTTCACTGAGCTCTTCAAGAAGTATTACTGACAGCAATCCACTAAAAGCATTAATACAACATATCTTTCCAAAGTGCAATTTAAGCAGGGGGGGGCGGGGGGAAAAAAGCTTTACAGATGCTTACAGAGAAGAGGATATAAACCAGAGCTCTTTGCCCGGAGTAGGAGGTGACAGACTCAGCTTTATGAAGGAATTGTAGCTACTTAACTCACTAATCCACTTTTAACCTCAGCCTTTGGTTACTACAGGTCACTGAGTTAATCATTTAATTCTCACATAGTGAACAAAATGCAAAGCTACAGTAAGTCAGCAAGAAAAGAAATTAAATTACATTTTTATCAGGTAAACCATTTTCTTAATACTGCACCCATTAATTATTGACTCATATGTGCATACAATCTATTCCCAGGCTTAAAAATATGTGCTTACTAAGACTAAGCGAGTAACTCAGGTAAATATGTTTCAGTCCTGTATTGCAAAAAGCAATTGGTTTTGCACAGCATAAACTACTGAACAATACTTGGATTGAAATTGGGCTTAAAGAAATTTGAATAGTGTTCTCAAATCTTGAAAAAGAGAGAGAGAGAAATGATCCTGGGAGGTGAATTCACTGCATTACATTCCTAAATCATTATTCATTCAGAGCAGACACAAACTTTACGGCTAGAGTGCTAGAGCATGGCAGCTCTTCAGATACCAGTATTATCTCCAGGAATGCAATTGTAAAAGTGACTGAATTCATTCAAAGTATTTGAAAAGGTTAGGATCTGAATTTCACAGGAGATTGCTATTATTGGGGTTTTTTTACAGTTTACCTTCAATTAATAACACTTATGCAGAAGTGACCAACTATGTATCTCAACAGTGAATGAGATGTTAAACTATGGAAACTCAGCTTGTAAGAGCTGCTGGAAGATGTTTTGTAAGCGTAACTAACAGTTAATGTGAGAATTACACAGGATGGAGTAAACTACCAAACTGTAAATGCTCCACAAATTAGGTGTGCTGTCATGCATACTAAGCCTGGCAGACCTGAAAGGTGTTTTACATGTGCAGACAGAGACACAGAGAAAAACAAATCAATTTCTATATACGTTTGTATTTTCTGCTCAATGGCCTAACTTCAGCATGACTAAGTGGCAAAGTCATAAACTGTCTGTTAAGCCATTATTTTTTAAGGGCTAGAATACTGGATTTAATTTCCCTCAAATTGAGGAAGCAATTACATTCAGAGCTCTTTTTTGGGGGCAAGTGTTCTAAATATTAGGCAATAGAAAACACTATCCACCAAGTATTTGCAGTAAATCTTTTAGACCCTTCTTCAGAGATCCGTCCAGATACCCAGTATATGAAGCCAACAGCTTCAATGGAGAGATAAAGTCAGAGTTGCTCAGCTCAAAAAAACTTGTCAGGGTTACTGGGCATGCAGAGACAGACATTCAGGCAACTAAGCAAAAAAGTTAGGTGCTGAGTTTTTGACTCATTGTTTTGTCAGTTCACTCTTTTTTGATTCAGGCACCCAAATTCCACCTAAAATTAAGGGTGGAGATATAAATCCCTTTCTGCCTCACCTCTTTCTCTCAAATTTGCCTAATAATCAGAGATGCACACTTCAGAACTGATAATTAAATGCAGCAGACCATGCAAGTCCAGAGGAGCCCTGGCACTTCACTGCTCTTAAGGATCAGGCACAAACACTCATGAATTTTCATCTGGATTTACCAGTGTAACGGGTAATGGACTGCAAGATTAACAGCACTGCTGGAACAGACGCCATGCCCAGCTCTTCCCTGCCCACACATGCCAAGCAGAGCTTGCCCTGTGCAAAGGCAGAAGACCCATGCCCTCAGGGCCCTACCAGCCAGCCCACAGCTCCCAAGGGAGAGACACATAGGAGTTCACAGAGCTATCCTGACCAGTGCTCCTTGAGTCATTCTCTGTTTTTTTCACGTTTAAAACTGAGACTGTTTGCCTTCCCATTAACGTGTTCTGATTCATGGGTTTCCAAACTCTCTGTCACCTGGAACCCCAGTTCCAGGTTCATCAGAAGATCAGGGTTTGTTAAAACAAATTACTGGGCAACACTCTGTGACCTTTGTCAGCACAAGATCAGACAGCCATAAACTTAAGGGCAGGATAAACTGATCCTAACGATTACAAAATGTGCTCCTCTATCCAATGCAATACACACTATCTTAAAAGCTGGAAGGGACCTGCTGGTCTACGTACCTTTTCACAGGGGAAGGTGCAATAATTTTGGTAGTTCCTTCATTTTCCCCATTTGTTGTAATCTGGCTCATGTTCTTAGAACCTAAAAAAAAAAAAAAACCAAAACACCAAAAAAACCAAACACCAAAAAAAACACCAAACCACAAACAGAACAACCCTGTAGCATATACGCTGGGACACCTATTCAGCATAATCATCTACTGAACACAGTGCAGCATGAGAGATAAAATGATACACAAGACATCTAGTGCATGCTCTGCTTGCTAAGGGTATATAAGGATCACACGTTTTGTGTCTTACCCTCATTTCTAGTTATACGACATCACAAGAAAGTTTAACATGGGAGAGGCATTCACTACTCTTCCACATGAGACAGAGGAGTTTGAAGCTGTTCTTCTCAAAGGGATACTTTGCCAATGCCACCAGAAGGGAGTTTCCTGGTCCGTCACCAATAAGAAGAAAGGTGTGAGGAGAATGCAAACTATGAAAAAGCCTGGGAATCTCCAATGTAATAACTATGGTCTCTAAAACAATAGTTAGATTAGATGGTAAAGGAAGATGAGTATGTTTGGGCTAAGAAACCATTTCAAATTGATGGAGCAACATAGTGCAAAACAACAGTAATATACCAAAAGTTATGATCAAGAAAATAACTGTAAATCAATGGATTAGAAAACTAATAATGTAAATAGAGAGAGATAATAGAAAATACTCCGACAGAGACCGTTAAGGATCAGTGTCCTAGGTTCGGCTGGGGCTAAACCATGACAATCAATTTCAATGAGTCAGAAACTTTTGGCCGATATCTGAAAGTTACCTGCCTAGTTTCCAATTTTATGCCAAATACTCTTTCCATTTTGATCCTGCACTTTTCGCACTGCTGGCACGTAAGTCCCCACCTGAGCCATGGAAGGGAACCTGAAGAAGCAGAAGGAACGTGCACTTTCTGCTTTGAGTCCCTATATAACATGCTTCAAAGAAACAGATTCAGCCAAGCCCTTTACATGTCCGACTTTACCACTTTTAATGATGTAGTTTACTCCTTTCCCTAGTTAGTTTTTCAGACGAATGCCTGACAGGGGAGGGGAGCAGCCTGGGTGCTGTCTTGTACAATATTTGCTCCTTCAAGGCACTTATTGTTTATGAAGGCATAAGTACTAGGAAGAATTTGGAATATTCTGAAGAAGAAAATGCAGAATGGGCGTAGATTCACAGACAGAAAGGAAAGTTTTGGCATTCTGAATGAATCCTCTATTTTATACAATAAGAGACAACCAACTCTCCAGACACTCTGCAGAACTGCGTATCTGTCCATACAGTTAGTTTCTGTTTTCAAGAATGAAGCAAAAGCTCCACTGCCACTATGACCTGCTTAGTAAAAAGTCAGAATTACTGAACAAAAGACTTTCTTGAATTAATGTGGATGAAAAAACAACCAGAAAAAGAATCACCAATCTTCACTGAGGCCATAAAAGATGCTACGTAAATTCTTCCTTTGACCTCTAAAGCGAGAAGGATGCCTACAGCCAAAAATCACAAATAAATAAAAACGACAGTACTTAAGAACAGGAAGCAGAAATTTCCCACCTTTAAGGAAGATACTGGCAGTGAAATGAAAATGGAGTAAGTCAAAGTATGAAACACCAAGGATATCTCAGGGTTTCTGACCATAGTTTTTTGCATGCAGATACATTTAGCTTGCCTTTGCTAGGCCATCAAATACCTAAGATAAAATAACCCACTATAATAATTTGGCACACAGAAGTATTGAAATCAGAAAAGATATGACTTTTTCAAACAACGGAAATAATTTCAGCACTTTGCATATTACTGTGTAAGCGAGGTAGCTTCCAATTAAGGAAGCCTGCATGAAGGCTGTTGCTGCAGAGCCTACATGGGGCACCTCAGACTTTGGAGCAGCCAGTACTAGTAAATCCTTAAAAAAGCAGCAGCTCCTTCCCACTGTTCAGTACCCTGGTTGCCACTCTGCTATTTTAACAAGTACTTCATTGAGGGAAAATAAAAGACAAGACAACAAACCAGTGACTATCACAGAGGCAGAATCCACCCAGAAATATAAAACAGGTTTCTACTGAGACAAGATTTCATATTAGCCAGGTTTGACTCCACCACTACCTACAACAAAGACCTTTGCTTTGCTTTTTTAAAAAAACACACTCTTGCTGTACATTTTTTTTGTACAAATAACTAGCTTAATTAGGAGCTTTCTGTCCACACTAACAGAAACTGTAATAATTGTCTTTAAGTATATTCCATCTCCTGTTTCTTTTACTAACTACAGTTCTGTTCTACCAGCATACACCTCTGTATGATATAGTATTCCTAATATAAAAGAATAGGCTCCAGAAAAACTGCCCGAACACTAACCCCATTCGAATAACTTATCTATACCACTGTTTCTTACATGCCAAGGTAATAGCCCTCTCAAAAATACCTTAGATAACCAGAAATCTTGAATATCTCACTTGTAGCAGGTTTTCCTTGTTGTTTGCCTTTTGTCAGATAAATTACTGTCAGCATTCACTGCACTGAACATTTCCAGTAAGTTGAATGCGCACACTTTCATTCTGTTTTACAGCCATCTTGATGCTGATTTGTACATTCAATTTAAATAGACTATTACATTTTTAAAAACTCAAGATGTCCAAAGCCTCAGGAGCCTGGCAAGCTAATTAGCTTATCGTGCCTGTTTCTTATGAACTAAAGGCATTTCACTGACGTTATCTGGAAGCAGTGTTTGTATTTAAATCTATTAATGAGAGCAGAAAATAGTGCGATCAAAAGGAAAACATGCAGTAAGAGCTCATGCTTTGCACTGTTACTAAGAACCTATAAAAATGAATGGACTTGCATATGTCCACACTAGTGTAGCCTACTCTGTGATAATGGTTATTTTCAAAACTAGTTACCAAACCTGTAGCCTCAAGAATTTGTGCATCTCACACCACATGCATGAAATGAAGTAGTCACAACCATCCTTTTACAAAACCAAAGAAACTTTAAAGTATAAAGCCTAAAGTAAATAAATAAGTAAATAGATAAAATTACACCAAGATTAATTTTCTAAAATTTAACTTTCAAACCCAATCTCACAACTTTCTGGGAAAAGATTTGTGACTTTGCGCCAAACAGTTCCAGCTACCATAATACCCACTCCTGATTCTTCAACTGGCTTTTAAATTAGAATGGCAACATTTAGTTTACACCCGTTTATACAACTACCCAGTGCACACAAATCAAGTCCTCAGCTACCAAACAACAACAAACCCTAACCAATGTGTTTTCCAGCGCTGAATAAACTCAGACTCACAGCAACAGGTCTGGTCACATCGTGTTTGTCCAGAGAGGACGTTCCCAAGGAGCTTCTCATGTATAGCACTCAGCCAAAGGAACAATAAACACTTTCACCCTATGCACTGTTGCAAAAGCTGAACATTATCAGTCTTGCCTTAAGAGAGTAAGACAGAATAATGAGAGATCCTGTTCCATGTTTGAGGTTATGATTTGCAACCAGAACAAAATGCAACTGTAACTCTCTCTCAGCTGAAATGAAATGGGGACAATAAGCAAACAAAACAAGCTACTCAAATAAGAGCATCAGAGAGGCTGAGAGAGAGAGACTGGTGCAGCCAAGCTCTTCCCTCCCTGAGACAGAAACAGCGACAACAGACCAAAACCAAGGTGACGGGGACCCTGTATCCTCCCCTTGCCGGGCAGAAGGCAGCAGCCTCAAAGACAGGAGTGAATGGAAGCAAGTCCACACTCGGCATGGTAGGCAAACCTTCTCCTCCTCACCCACCTCGCCATCCCACATACCCCTGTGCAACAGGTACGAGGCTCTGGCTGTGGAAGGCCACTTGAGCGAGGATATGGATGACAGTCAACCTACTGCAGAGGTAGCACCTAGGCCTAAAAGGCCCATGCCTCATGTCATGACCAGCCCAACAAAGAAAAAAAAATGGGTTCTAGTTGTAGGGGACTCCCATCTGAAGGGTACAGAGGGCCCGATATGCAGGGCAGACCCTCCTTTCAGAGAAGTCTGCTGCCTCCCCAGGGCCCATGTCAAGGATATCACCAGGAAACTCCCCAGCCTGGTACACCCCTCTATTACCCACTGCTGCTCCTCCATGTGAATGGGGATGAAGCAGAGACACGTACCACAAAAGCAATCAAAAGGGACTTCAGGCTCTTAGGACAGTCACTGAAGGATTCGGGAGCGCAGGTAATATTCTCCTCCCTCCTTCCAGTTGAGGGCAGCAACGTTGGGAGTAATAGGCGGACACAGTCCATAAATGCACGGCTCTGTGGCTGGTGTCAACGCCACAACTTTGGGTTCTTTGACAATGGGGCGGCCTACACGGCACCAGGCCTGATGAACCCTGATGAACCCATCTCTCAAAGGGGGAAGAGGATCTTTGCCCAGGAACTAGTGGGGATCATCGATAGAGCTTTAAACTAGGCTCGAAGGGGGAAGGAGATAACATCAGGCTTGCCAGTGATATGTTTTGGGACAATGTGCCCAGGTTGGAGGGACCGGGTGCTGGTGAGGGCCCTCAGCCTATTGCTCAGAGACGTGCTGGACACACTGCAGCACACTCGAAGCCTAGAGGAGACGAGCCAGGGGCTCCAGATGCAACAGGAACCAACGGAGTAACACTGGGAGAATACATCAAAAGAATTCCAGCCACCACAGCCAATAA